CAAGGACTAGGGGTCCACTGAGAACTCCTGATCTTCTCACCACGCCATCCCATGATAAGCCATCTTCATGCCGTTGTCCCTGACCCCTAAGCCCACGTGACCTAGCCCACAGGACACACACAGGCCCTCTTCTGCTCAGGAAGCCAGCACCACAGAATCCCAGATGCACACAGAGAGTTAGTCCCTGAAAAATTCTTCTGGAGGGAAGTAGTAGAGAGGGGAGCCCCACAGACCTCAAGTTTCTCAACGTCCAAGCAAGGGAAATCTCCACACAGATGCATCTTTGAGAGCTCCTTCTTAAAACTCACAATGGAAAAGTCATTCCAAGAGGAGGCGTGGAGTGGTGGAGAGAGCTTGGGATTGGGTGATAGAACGATTGGGTTCAAGCTGTGGCTTTGCCTCTTGCTAGCAGCTGACAGGGAGACCTGGAGTGAGTCGCTTACCTTCCCAGGCTTCAGTTTCTACAACTGTGCAACAGGGACAACAAGCCCCACCTCCCATGGCAGCTCTGAGCACCGGTAACGTGGGGCCTTGGACCTGGTCCAGCTATAAACCAACGTGGGGAGCGTTACAGGATAACCCAAGAGGGGAGACACTCAGGAGTGTCTGTTTCCTCCCTTCTCTTCTTCCTCCCTGCCTTCCTCCCACACACCACAGGACAGTAATCAATGTCCCTGTGGCACTCGGGCCAATGCCCCCCATACACACAGCCACACGCCTTTTCTGGCACCATCTTCTCATACCAAAGCCCGTTTGCCTGTCCCCTACAGCCTGAACCCGACACGGGTGGCCATCCCCCTAGACAGCAATACCTGCCTCCTTCCTGGCTGCGAGACCCCAAGTCTGCACAGGAACTGAGACCAGAGTGCTGAGGAAATCCGTCCCACAGCACAGGCCCAGGGAGTGGACACTGAAAAGTCACTGCATTCTTTCTTAAGCCAGCAATTGGCTTACATGGGGCCATGGGACACAATCCCGGCCAATGGGAAATAAACGAATGTGCTAGAAGACCTGCGGGAAGCGTTTTCCTCTGTAATAGAAAGAGCAGGAAAAGGCAAGCCCTCCCCTCCGGACTTCAGATGGGCTTGCGTGAGGCCTAGAGCTGCCGCATCCTCTCCCAGCCATGTAGGGACACGCCTGAAGGTGAAACCAAGGCACCGGGCGCAGTGCCGCCCACCATAGCCGAAGTGTGGAAGCAACCAGGTGCCCATCCATGGAACACGGCCAGAGAAGATGCAGTACACACACATGTAAAAAAGAAGCCATTTGCAGCTGCATGGATGAAGCTGGGTAACATGAGGTTCAGTGAAAGAAGCCCGGCACAGAAAGACAAATATTGCATGATCTCCTTTAGGTGTGGAATCTAAGAAAGTTAAGCTCTTAGAAGCAGAGAACGGAATGACGGTTGCCTGGGCAGGGTAGGGAGGGGTGTGTTGGGGAGATGTTGGGATGTGAGTCGAAGCATACAAGATTTTGGTTACAACAGAGCCATTGCACAGCATGTTGACCGTAGTTAACAACAATGTATCGTATTCTTCAAGACCACTGAGAGAGTGGATTTCCAGTGTTCTCACCACAAAAAAAAAATGACAACTATATAAGGTCATGCATGTGCTAATTAGCTTGATTTAGGCATTCCACAATGTGTACGTATTTCAAAACATATTTTACATGATAAATATAAACAATTTTTATCTGTCAATTAAAATAAATACTTTTTTAAATAATAAAAAAATAAAAATAAAACACAATCCACCAGCGCATTGGGGACGGCAGAGAAGAAAGGTGGAGAGCGCTATTGTGCCTGCATGAAGCCGCCTCGCTTCCTCCTACCTACACTCGTTACCGTCACCGTATGAATGAACAAATCCCCCCGTTGCTGAAGCCTCTTCAGGTTGGGTATTTGGCCACGTGCAGCTCAGGTCACGCTGACACTCGCCCCTCCCAGACACCCACACACGCAGCCCTCGACTTACCTCCATCTCCCTTGGGTTCCCCACGCCTCCCGACCTGCAGTTCAGTCGACGGCGGAGCCGCCTCCCACAAAAGCATCTGTGTTGCCCATGGGATAAAACGACCTCTCTTCACCTGGCCTCTCTCTAGCTCGTTATCTTGTTTGGTTTTATTAGTAACGTCATCACTGCAAAAGTAGATTAAAACGGAGACTCTCTGAGCAGACAAAGCCAGGTGGGCATGGTAAGTGAGCTTAGCACTGCTTGATCTGCAAACATAAGTGAAGCTAAACTTGAGCTGTTTCTTGTAAATGCCTACATTTAAGAAAAACAGAACGTAAGCTCAACCAAAAAGAAGCAGCCAAAAAACTTATAGTTACATAACTAGGGACTTTCCAACAGAAAAGACAAAATAAGGCAAATTTATAGGTGAGGTGTGGTGGCTCACACCTGTAATCTAGCACTTTCAGAGGCCAAGGCAGGAGGATCACTTGGGACCAGGAGTTTGAGACCAGCCTGGACAATATAGCAAGACCCTGTCTTTATAAAAACTTTTAAAAATTTTTTTAAATAGGGCAACTTTATAACTGTGACCAATCAAATATCGTCCTTGTATTACTTCCCCATTCACTCTATAAAAGCCTGTGCCTTCTGCTTCTTCAACACTGACCCGCTTCTGATTTGGGGTTGCCTGATTCATAAATCGCTATTTGCTCAAATAAACTCTAAAATTGTATTGTGTCTTAGTTTATCTTTCGACATCTTATCTTTTCCAAGTGGAAATTCTACTGGGCATTTATTTGTTACCTGTTTATCATCTGTCCATTCTCAATAAGCTTCATGAGAATAGGGCTCTTGTCATGTTCATCACAACCGTCCCAGCATGAGATCACCGCCCGGCACAGCACAGTGGGCGCTTAGAGATTATGTTGTGGGTGCGTAAATGATCGGGTGGCTCCAAACTACCTTTCCAGCTCGCTCTTCCTAAATACCTTTGGAAAAAATGACGCCCTCTCTCATCCTTGGAACAAGTCATGGTGCACCCTGCGTGCCTCAACACATCCCTGCCCCAAGCCACTGTCCCTACTGTCATCGGCACATGGCACGCTCGTTCTTCCATGCCCAATTCAGACGCTGCCGCTGAGGGTCATAAGGGTACACGGGAGAAAGAAGGGCATGTGCATTCGGCTTGGACTCCCAGCCCTACCACGCCTGCTGTGGGACCCTGGGCAAGTTACTTCGAACTCTGAAGCTCAGTCGCTTCGCTATATAAAACAGGGCCAAGGTAACTCCTTAGCAGCGTTTGCCTGCTTGTGAGTTTGGGGGTAGATTCAGTGAGACAATTAAGATGGGGACTTGTGCACAGCAGCCCTCCTTCCTTCCTCGTTCCTCCTCTTCAAAGCTTGCGTTGATCAAACAGCCAGGTGATCTCTGACTGCCCACGAGATCCCATTGCTGGCCATGACCCTCTCCAGCTTGTGCCACTCGTGTGTCCGCAGCCATCCCCCTTTCCTTCCTATCCCACCCCCACCCCCACCCCAGAAGGTGCGTCCCCAGGGCAGGCGCTGTGACTCCTGCATCCACATTCCCTGAGTGTTTGGCACACAGCGATGCTCAAGAGGTATCTGTGGAACGGGCACACACGTGAATGAGAAAGGAGATGAAGGCAGCACTGTGATGAAGGGGCTGTGGCTACCACTGCAGAGACGGGCTGCAAGGTGCACAGCAGAGGGGCGTTCCCCCAGCCCCAGACCCGCCTCAGAGAGAAGCAAGATAAAAGGAAATCGAGCAAGGTGCTGCAAACAGGTGTAACTCCGGCAGCGTCTCCCTCTGCTGCTCTGTTCTTTATCTGTGACGTGAGAGGGCCGAGCAGATGGTCTCTGGGGACAGGCGAGGTGGGAGGGGCGTGGGGTTCAGAGCTAGACTCTCCGGGCTGGAACCTTGCTGCTCCAGGGGCTGGCTGTGCAGCCCACAGTCCTCACTCCGCCTCTCTGGGCGTGTCTCCTGCAAAATGGCATTAATGACACCTAACTGATAGGGCAGTTGAGTTGGTGCACAGCCCCTGGCATGGGGCCTGGCACACAGAGAGCGCTCGATCCCCTCTCTCTTCTTACCTCTCTCCTTCACTGCCCCTGCCAGGGCCCCTGGCTTCTATGAGACTCTGGCCTCTGCAATGTAAAGGTCGCCAAGCCTGGCCCATTTTCCTCCAGGTGCAGAGGAAAACTCCATCGTCCAGCCCTGGGCACCTGGGCAGGGTCACGTGACCCCTCCTGACCGCAGAATGCAAGTAGAAGTTCTATTAACCAGTTCCACGTGTGACTCGTTAAAACTCCCCCCTCTGCTCTCTTCCCTTCCCTAGAAAACTTGGAGGCCACCACTGGAGGATGGTGGCATCACAGTGTGCCATGGGTGAGCAATTGAGCTGCGGAGATTTTAGGCTTTACTTGTCACCGCAGCAGAGCCCAGTCTCCTCTAAGTCACAGAGCCTGACACTTCCACGGACACAGCTCCTAAAACAGGACATCTTCACCTGCTCCATCTCAGGGTGAGTCCCTCGCTCTTCTGACTCGTCCTACGCAGGGAGTGGGGACCGGCCTTTTCCACCCCCCCTTGCCCCCACCCTCTGTGAGACCTGGAGTCTAACGTCCAAATTCACATTTGCAGTCTCTGCCCGGGTGTCGTTGCCCTCGAGCACGTTGGGTCCTTGTGGCCAGCGTGGCATTGTGGAGTTTCCGGGGGAGTGCTTACGTCGGACCCTGCCAGCACATCTGCTGCTCCCCCTTGGTCTGGGCCTCAGTTTCCCCACATATGCCTCAGAAGGCCTTTCCCATTCTGCTATTTGCAAGCCAGAGCAAGCACATCCGAGAGGGAATGCCTGCGGCCGACACCCAGCAGGCTGCGCCCTGGCCCGGCCCCCAGCCTGTACGTGACCCATAAGCTCTCCGAGCTGAGTAAACACATTTTATTGGGGCCTGTGCACTTCCTGGACGTTCTGCCCCCACCTTCCCTCTCCTGCTCGGGCCTGGTCAACTCCCCGGACAGCCCCCTCCTCGGGGGCCTCTTGTACCCATCCTTAGTCCCCAGCTGCCTCCGGCCCCTTCTGCACCCTGACACCTGCATCCCCGGCCTGTAGGGGTGTGGAGAGTTTCCTCTCTTATCAGCGCGTTTTACTGCCCCCTCCTCCTTGGTTACACAGCCATCTGGAGCAGGATTCCTGGCAGGGCCAGAGCAACAACGGTCAGCTCCCCGCCAGCAAGCGAAGGGTCCCTGCAGTGCTGTCTCAGGAGACAGGTAAGGGGCGTGCAGGCAGGAAAGAAAAAGAAAGGCCCCCATAAGGAAGGGAGAGCCACCCCAGACCATGCAGAGAGGGCTGGACCTGTGAAGGGAGGTCACGGAGAGAGCAGAGGAGAGCCAGGGCCAGCCCAGAGACGCCTGCGAAGGATCACAGCCCGCAGCTCAGCCCAGCCCCGGAGAGGAAAGGGGACAGGCACCCCAGCACCCCCTTCCACAGCCTCCACCCGAGGGACAGCAGGAGAACCGACGCGCCGGAAGGCACCTCCTGGAGTCTGGAAGGAGCAGAACTGAAGGAAATCCAGGGGGGCTTCCGGGAAGACCCCTCGAGCTTCAGTGCATCCCAGGCTGGCAGCCCCCTGGGGCCCAAGGGTGGCACTCGAGCCTCCCAGAAGCCGGCCAGAGCTGGCAGGAAAGGGCCACAGCCAGAGAAGGGGCCAAGGTGCACACGCTGCCTCCAGACCTCCGCTGGGGACAGACCTCCCGCTTCCAGCCCCCCTCCTGTCTTTCCCTCTTCTCGTTGTCCCCACTGGGCAGTGACCTCAGAGACTCGGGCCTAGGCTGGTGACTGTGAAAGCAACTGCCTCTCAGAAGACCCTTCTCTGGAAGACTGAGCCCAACTTCGCGATGGTGACGAGTGCTTGACCCCAAGCTGGCGAGGGCTGTGGGACAGGACACAGCACCTTCGGGCTCCTCCCTCGCGGTCTGTCCCCTTGGTCCCAGGGGTGTTTTCAAGTGGTCCATGGAAGCCGCTGTGGAGACAGGATCCCAGTTGAGTAACCCGACGGGAGACTCTTCCTTCTCCACTTCCACTGCCAGGAGGTTCAGGGGAGGAAGAACGCCACCCCCCACTGGCTCCATCCCGGGCCCACCCAGAGCCCCCGCTGGGCCCCTCCGAGTGCACCGAGGTGGGCCCCGCTCCCTGCAGGGGCATGGAGAGCAGGCCCTCGGGGTGCTGTGAGGCCCCGAAGAAGCTGGGCCTGTCCTTCTCCATCGAGGCCATCCTCAAGAGGCCCTCCAAGAGGAGCGAGGCGGCCGGGCCGCACGGGGCAGGTGGGGAGGGACTTCGGCAGGCAGCGGCCACGGGCTCCAGGCTGGAGAGGCCCCCGCAGGACCAGCCCCAGGGTAAGTGTCTTCCAATCATTTCTTTCTGTTCCCCGGGTGCCAAGGCCCGGCGGGGCTCAGGCAGAGAGCAAGCTGCTCTGTCCGTACCAACAGAATAGAGGACTATAAAATTCAGAGGGAGAATTTTAAGAATGATAAGGCTCTGAGCTGGTAGTCTTATATCCCTTTCAGTCTAACCCAGAACTGTGTTTTTTTCAGATGCAAATGCCGAGGCTCAGTTAGATACAGAGTGCAGGGACCCAGGCTCGTTCGGGTGACCAGGCCCCAGCTAACAATGCTAGTCACCATTTATTCAGCATTGACGATGTGGTAGGCACTGTGCTTTACCTTCAATAGAAAGGCATGATTGTCACTGTCATCACTGGAGAGATGAGGAAGCTCGTGTGTGAAAGGGGAGAGACGGATCATGTCCCCAAGTTACACAGCTGGTAAGCAGAGGACCTGCGGCCAGGGCCCGGCTCCGGCTGCCCCAAATCCCCTGCTAGGTCTGATAGAACCTTCTCCCCGTAAGCTGAGTTCAGCCTGCACACCTGCCCATCCTGATCACCTTCCCCAGCCACTGTCCAGCCCAAGGCATGTCCCCAAATAACAGTGACCAGATAGATTTCAGGGCCCTCCTTGAGAGCCGCCGTGAGGAAGGGAGGGAGGTGGCATTAGGGCATTGAGGGGAAGACACACCCTGCTAGGCGTCGGGAGCCCCGGCTCTGCCCTGGCCTGCTGTGGGACCCTGGGAAAGCCCCTGTCCCCGAGAGACTCAGCTCTGTCCTCCGTGAAACAGCTGGGGTGAGGGCAGAAGAAATGTTGGAGCTGGTGATGTCTCAAAGGCCATTTGAGCCTGACAGTCGCCCAGCTTGGAATATCTCACGTGAAGTTCCCACTCCTCACCTGTTGTCACCTCTTTAGTCCGGGAAAATGCTGAAAAGGAAGCTCGGGGAGCCCTTGTCATATGCAGAGCCCCACCCCCTCCCCCGGGTGAGTCTCCCACAGAGGGCTCCGATGGGGGGGGTCCCCACTTAGTTGCAGGCAGGGGGCAGACCCAACAGAGCTAGTGCCAGCTTCCCCTCTGCCAGTGTCCCTGTTACTGTGCCTATCAACAGGAAAGGGTGGCCAGCTTAATTGTTGGAAGTTCATTATATTGTCCAGTCAATTGAGGATTCACAGAAGCAATTCCATTGGGGTTTTAACCCGAGCCTCTTCGGCTGCAGCTGTATAAATCCATGATCACCCTCTGCGTCTCAAGGAGAGAGAGAGAGAGAGGTCTGGTCTCTCCCACCAGAGCAGCCTCCCTCCCCCAGCCTGACAACCCTGACAGCAGAAAGGAAGCCACTCTCGCTGGGCCTCCATGGAAGATTCTGGCATGTGCCACGTCAGCTCTCAGGCGGACCCAGAGCAGCCCCGGCAAGTGCTGGTCAGAACAGCAGTTGTAACGCTGGAGACCGCCTTGTGACTCTGCAGCACTTCATGGCAATTTTCCCATCCCACTGTCACCCTAGTGAGCCCACCATGCAATGCAACCAGAAGAGAAGATACATCCTCACAAAAATGCACGAGTAGCTAGCACTAGAATTGAATCCTGCTGAACTCTAGATTGTTCCTGAACTTAGTTTAGATCCATACGCCTCCCACTATGCTGGACTCAGTATTTCCAAAAGCTTGGTGACAGTCCCAGTGGCAGTTCGCAAGATGACTTTGGGGACTAAGCAAAGATTGTTTAGGTCAATAGTTCTATAATATAATTACTTCTACACTCACCTTCTACTCATGACAAAAGAGACTGGCTAACCATTTGTGGTCATGATATGACATTTTCTTTTAAGACAAATGTATTTATTTGGGTCAAACAAAAAAGTCTATTTGGGAAAACTCTAAGCAAATAATACGGATGGGCCAAGGCCCAAGTGGGTCTCATCACCTGGGACTAACAGCTCTGGCTCTCAGCCGGGCAGACCCAGGGGCTGCCATCAGAGCAGAAAGGTGCAGGGCAGAAGGACCTGGAGCTAAAAGCTTGTACTTCCCCCAAGAGAAGTATGGTTTGGTCTCCCCCCTAATGGACCCTATCTCTCAGTCCCTGCCACCAGAGCCACAGACTTAACCTGGCCGTGGGCTCAGGGACACCCGGAGGCTGGTTCTATTAATATAGAAGAACTGAGAACCTGGCTCAGTCTTAGGCCCTGTGGGAGCATGAGAAAGTCCAAGGCAGAGCATCGTGCCAGTGTGGGCTCACCCAGAAAGCAGACCCTGGGGAAAGGTCTGAGCACAAGCAGTGGGTTTGAGACGTGCAAGGAACAGCAGCAGGAGAGGCGTGAGACAGAATAAGAAAGGGGAGGCAATGAACAAAGGGTGTGTTACTAAGCCACCCCCATGGGTAACTGAGGCTCGAATCCTTTGGGAAATGGAGCAAATAGACTCCTCAGAATTCTTCGAGGTTTTCACCCACAAAGACAAACCCTGGCGTGGTGGTAGGAAGTGGATCTGGAGGGCAGAAAGGTGCAAGGGATGGAAGCCAGGCATTGACAGCATCAGCCTTAACCACAGGGCCCAGAATGTCAGAGCAGGAGAAAGTTCAATGGGCAGAGGAGGAGGCTTAAAGTGTTGGCTCTAATTTAAATTTGATTTGTCCATTGTACTCTTTATCCAGGCATGCAACAAATAGCTGCTGAATACCTACTGGGTGCCACGCATGTCTATTTCACAACAAACCATCCCAGAACTCAGTGGCCTAAAATAACAATAAATATTTATTGTCTCGCTCAGTTTCTGTGGATCAGGATTTTGGGGGTGACTTAACTGGATGGTTCTGGCTCAAGGTCCCTCGTGAGATTGCAGGAAAGATGCAGTTAGGGGCTGCAGTCGTCTGAAGGCTGGGCTGGAATAACAGACCGGCTTGCAAGCTGGCTCACTCACGTGGCTGGGAAGCTGGTGCCCGCTGTCTGAGGGGCCTCAGCTCCTCCCTGCGTGGGTGGTCCACGTGCTGCTTGAGTCTCCCCACAGCATGGCCTCCCTCGGGGTGGGCAATCCAAGAGAGAGAGCGCCGGGGGGAGCTGCTTCCTTGTATGACAGGGCCTGAGAAATAGTGTCACGTCCCTTTCACTGCGTTCTATTCGTTGGAAATGAGCCACTAAGTTGGGCCCGCTCAAGGGGAAGAGAGTTTGAAGGGAGGAGCGTCAAAGGATTTGCAAAGCCATCTGACGACGCCAGCACAGGTGCTGAGTCGGGAGCTGGGGATGGTGTGACGAGCAAGCACAGCCCGGCCCTGCCCTCAGCTAGCTCGTGGTCCAGCAGAGGAGAGGAAGGGCCGTCAGATAATAACAGATGCAGGTGCAAGTACCACCGTGGCTGTGCCGGGGAGATGGGGGTCTGCTGCTCTGAGGGACCATGCAGGGGAGGTCTGGTCTGTCCAGGAGCTCAGGGAAAGCTTCCCAGAGAAGGTGACAGCGCAGCAGGGTGACAGGGAGAGGGCGTTCCCCGGAGGGAGAGCAAGGGCAAGGACCTGCTGGCAGGTTCAAGGGTCCCAGGAGTGGACTGGGAGCCAGAGGGGCCACCCCACACTGGCCTTGGAGGCCGCAGTGGAGATTTTTATTTTTGTGTCACATTGCAAGGAGAGTAAACAACCATCGTAGGGTTTTAGACAGGAAAGTATACGATGATCAACATTCATGAGAACTCTTTGGTTCCAATGGACAAAATTATCCCAGGTTAGCTAAACTGGAGAGGGAAGTGTATTGCCTTGAAGAAAATTAAGAAATAGTTTCCAAAACTAAGCCCAGGGAAGGTTAAGCTGCCTGCAGCCGTGCTGGGAGCCAGGACCAACAATACCGTCCAGGCTCTGCAGCTGTTTCTCTCTGCGCGGGCTCACCCCCCCCCTTGCTGCTCATTGGCATTCTCCAATGGCTTCCAGTGCTCTGAGAGTGACATCTGTCCTCAAGCTCTCTAAAGTCACATGTCCAAATGCCACAGAGGAGGGACCCGCTGGCCAAGCTCCAGCGAGAAGTCCACCTCCAAACAACTGAGGTCAACCAAGGCCAGAGCATGTGGCTGGTGGAACGGTGTGCGCTTGGGCCTGGCCTGGAGCCTCCTTTCTGCTGAGCCCCCTCCTCTGCCACACCATTCCACGCTGGGACGCTGGCTCCTATCTCAGGGCCCTCCGGACTCAGCACAGGTCATTTCAGTCTCCATACAGAAAACTCTCAAGTTTCTTTTTCTCAAATCAGTAGTGTGTTCCTAAAGAGATTTATTCTCCCAGATAGATACTCCTTGTAAGAAGGCCGTTCCGTTGTTCATGTTTTGTAAGCCAAATACACGTGGTTCCACCAGCCACGTGCTCTGGCCCGTTCCCCCTTCACAGGACCCTGTGACTTTGTGTGTCTCTAACCTGGGCATTCTGCCTGTTTGCCACTTTGGTTGCCTTTCTGTATGTATTTTAGCAAAGAGAACAATTTGATTGATTTGGGCTGTGATGGATGAGTAGGAGTTCACTAGACAAAGACAGAGGATAAGGCATTGCAGACTTAGGAAGTAGTGAGGACAAGCACCTGGGGAATATAAGGCCATGGCCAGTTTGGGCAATCTGGAAATGGTCAGGAGGGACTGCAGTCACAGAAATGAGGAGGGGGGAGGAAACAGATGATGCTAGAAAGGTAGGATGTGAAAGGCCCTGAATGCCATGCTAAGGAGTTGCCTTGTGCCCCGTAGGCACAAGGAGGCTATGGGAAGCCTGTGGCCTGACTAGAGAGACCAGGCCAGCCCAGGTCAGCCCCGGGGAGACGTCTGGCCCACACCACCCCCCACCCACCCCCTGAAAAGGGTGCCCTCAATCCCTCCTTGAACCCACTGCCTTAGGAAGGCAAGACGCATCTCCAGACGCTGTGTCCGCCAGCAAACCCACCCCCAACCCCCAGCCTTTAGCTGTGCAGCCAGGACCAATTAGCAGACCGCAGAGAAGGAGCAATCCAGGGAGGGAGCCGAGCACAGAGAAACATCGCTTCATAATTAGGTGGCCT